GTTATTAAAAATAATAGATCAGTGTATTTTAGAGTAAGAGAACATTGCTAGCAATTGTCTGACCTAAATATACAAAATCACATCCGCATAAAATACTTTAAAAATAATGCCACTAAGGTCAAATAAGCCAGCATTCAAAATTCTCAAAATGGCAGTACTAATGTTGCCTGCGTGCCCTTAACTCAGCAACCCTTAATTCAGGCTCCCTCAGCATGACTGCAGAGAATGCACAAGCCTTCTCAAATAGGTAGGTAATCAGCTGCTCCTTTTGCCCTTGTGTGTCAGAGCAGCAGCAAAGGCATACCACAAAAACCCAGCCCCAGGACTGCCTGTCATTTCACAGGTCATTACAGTCCCAGAGCAGCGCTTCCTGCGGCCCCAGGCTGTGGCACTCACAGGGCATTCAGAAGCAATGTACCAGGGCCGAGACTGAAGGAATGGGAAAGGCATAGGCCAGATATTTAGATTCCTTTTGAAACCTGTCTGGCATTTTAAGAGTCTAAGTCCAAAACTCAGAAGTTGTGCATCACCACTCTTAGTTGTGCCTGCAGTCCTTTACAGGTAAGAAAATACCTGCTTCTAGTTGTACACAAGAGTTTGTGTCCAAGCAATGGTACATTTCTCAGGAGCAATCTCATAAATACACTCCAAAAGAAATCCCATACTTAACTCTTTTCTGACCTCAATGGTCCACTGTTGGTAATACATTTATCAATAAGTACAAAGCCCAGAGGGAGAGGTGGTGTGCCAGCCCTCTCCTTTATCACTCTTTAGCACTGGTCATGGTGTTCAAATCAGGCTGAACAGCTCTGGGTTTCAAAGTATTCTTTTCTCAAATGGGTTTATGTACATCTTTGGGCAATATTCTCATTCCATGAAATAAGCATTTTGTGAGCAGTCACACATACCAGCAGCAGGGCTGCCCACCACCACAGCCTTTGATACCACAGTGTCACCACAATTTACTTTTGTTTCCACAGCATCCGACTCAAAACAGGCTCATACGTTCTGTCCTCAAGTACATATATTTCAGATGGAATAAGGCAAATACTAAACCAGGCAAAGGGAGTCCACTTTGAACCATCCAGTATCCCTCAGGATAACCTAATCTGAACCGAGAAAGCAGAGTATCATAGCTCAGAGGAAGGACAAAAAAATACGCTTCTGTAGAAGTAAGATAAATAGCAAACCTTTGGTTCTTTAAGTCAGCTTTGATTATTGAAATATTTCATATATGAACTTGGTACCTCCCAAGAATCCATCCCTACTGCACAGCATAGGGCCGTGCAGAGTCACCCAAGGCAGCAAGGCTGCCATTTCCAGATGGCCAAACAAGCAGCAGGCACGCACGAGGAACGCCAATTGCTGTTCTGGATGCAGGTGCTGGCAAAGCCAGCAGATCAAAGGTTGCACCTTTCCTAAGGCTGGAAGCTGTCAGAAAGCTCCATTCTATCACTCCTTCCCCAGCCTGTGGATCTAGACAAGGAAGAACAATTTTTTTCAACCACAGGGAGAGCTATACCAGCATTCTTGCAAAGACGTGAGAAGATTTCCTGCCTTGCCACCTGGTTTCTGATGGTATTCATGGAGTCTAATCCTCCAAGCTACTGTGCTGAGGAGGATGGGATTTGTGAAAGCTTTGAAGACCCCGGGCAGGTAATTCCTGAGGTAATTCTGAAAGCAAAACAAAGTGACAGTCTGCTTCCTGATCCGTTTTTCTAGGAAAATTACATTTTACGGCCAATTCTGTCCTTACACGCTGACTATAAAATTAACTTATTAGCTGACTCAACTCCATTTTATGTGAAGGATTGAGAAGGATTGCCTCCAGCCCTTGTCCCTTTAACTCTAATTATCAAGTGTATACCAGATTAAATTCAGAATGAAGTAGCCGGGTCAGGCAATCTACTTAAAGTTTAATGGAAGTTAATGATTCATTGATCAAACTCATTTATGTCTAATTAAACCCTTCCTGCATTATAAAAGACAAGGGGGAAGTTTTATAATGCACCTTACTCCCCTTCTGCACATGGTGGATTTGCTGCAGATCTCCATGGAAAATTCACAGCATCTGCCTTTCGTGAGTGCATGGTTTGGCAAGAGCCGTGTAGATTTAAAAGTATAATTATTTTGGATGACTTCAGCAAATGGATGGGGTTTACACAATGCTGGCAAATACAATACCAGTACCCAGCTGCACATAGCCAGACTGAAAACCGAGCTTGTACGCAGCAGCACAATGGTGGAGTCCAGGGAGCGTAATAATAACCAGACCTGCGTGTGGATCGCAAGCATGAGCCTCACTGGAATAAGGCAGCAGTGATGTTAAGCCTGAGACAGGGAGAAAAGCTTCATGTGGATGCACCTCAGTCCCTGCTCATGCTTCAAAACTGGCAAAGCAGCCAAGCATCCAGAGCATGGCACAGGCAGTGTTCAGCATTCACACATAAACAAGAGTGACAGGCAACCCACTGCAACGCTCAGGATTTATTCCTTCCTCCACTGACTGTCCCCTCTTACTAAGCACTTTCTAGACATCGTCTTTTATATAAAGATGTGATCACAGTACAATGCCCTTACTGAGGGGCTATTCACCAGAACATTACTTTTGTCATGATTATTCAAGACAGTATAATTAAACAGGAATACCATGTCCTACTTACATATTTATCATTTTGTTACATAGATTTAAAATTTATACTGTTCATGTGAAGTGTAAAAAAAGTTTTTACAATCTCAGGTTGCCAGGGTACAGAAGGAATGCTTTATTTTTTCTCTGTAATTTGAAGTTATTGGTCCTTCACATGTTAGATAGGACTATACAGTCTTTAAAATGATGCTTTTCAAGCCATCTTAGATGTACAAATCCATAAGATGGTATAGTGATATAATATACTCTGGAGAAACAAAATTAAATGCACTGTAATAATTTTCTTTCTTCAGTAGTCTACATCCCTATCAATCCTCAAGTGTCTGACTAACACAAAAAAAACAACTGGCCCTGCAATTTATTGAATAGTTTAAATGGTTTTGTGCAAGTGGTTTTCATGTGATGGCAGGATACTTCTTCTTTTATCTCCTATGTTATTCTAGTTTTATGGTATTTTGCAAATCTGTATGGATATCTAATGATAATTGTTGACCTATTCCTTCTGCTTCCTACTGAATAAGTCACAGTGGAGTGTAGGTTTCACTGTCTTCAAAATTACATTCCTAATGCATTCCTGATGGTCCAGTATAGCTGTCTTTTAAGTAAACATGTATTTTCACTTATAGTGATGTTAATATGAATGTTTGCTTATATATTAAATGGATATCAACTCCCAGTTAATATATGATTTGTCCCAAGGAACCATTTTGAGCCTGACCAGCTGTAGTTCATGAAAGTCTACTAGAAGCAGCAGCAAGCTTTTGTCTTTTGTACTTTTTTGCCTGTAACCCTTTTCAGCCCTGGCACACCAGAGGAACGTGGCATCCTGCACTCTGCTAAGCTGCAGATGAAACAGGCCTTCAGTAGCATTTCTTTTCATTTCCAAAATGATTTCCCATGCACATATGATGGTCTGATTTTTGACAACTTTTACAAATACTTAACAGTTTTAACTCAGTTTAACAGTGATGAGTGACTGTTTTATGGCAGTAAGGCATGGTTCAATTTCTGTTTTACAGTAAATTACACAGACCAGCTATGAATACACTGAGGTTCATTATCCCAAATGATACTGTTTGGCACTCCATTTCTGCCCAAATATTTTATTTCTTTATCCATAACTGTTCCAAGAAGTCAGTCAGTTCCCAGAAGTCTACAGAGAACCCTGTAATAATGAGGCTGTTTGTGTAATTTGCAGTGGAAAGGTTATTTCCTATTTTTTTTTATGAGGTCTGTTGGGAATGGCTTGTATTTTCATTGTTTCCTTTTGCTATTTGGACTGCATTTAATTTAACTGCAATTAACTCAAATGGCAACTGCAATTTAATTTAGCTGTAACTGCAGTTAATTCTATGATCTTCGAAAGACTTGGTGTAGTTTGACTGGTATACTGCCCCTCTGGGTTTCCAGAGACTGACTTTGATTCCAGATTGGTCAACCATATCCTGTGGAAAAAAGGAGTTCTTGGTGACCTAGGCATTATGACCTAACCACCTCTATGTGTGCCAACATATACACTCAAATAATCTTGATATTTCCAGCAACCCTGAAAGACAGATGGGGTTTATCTTAGTTGCCACACCATTCAGGGTGTGAAACATGAAAACTAGAGGGGAACCACACAAAACGTGGAAACAGGAACATATGACCAAGAATGAATGAGGGAGTAAACCAGCTCAAAAAAATTAAATTAAAAGAGAAACTCGCAAAATGAGTTACAGCTAGCGAGGAACATAAAAGGTTTTATATCTCAGTAGGGAAAAGTTCACTGATTGCATCAGAAACACTTCTATATTTTTACTGAATTTAAGAGAAAAAAATAGAAAAAATATGTGCACCATATACTTTGAAAGAACAACAAATAACGTATGATACAGATAAGACTCAGATACTGATATTTCCATCCTTTTCTTTTATAATGACACAATGTATAATAAAGGAGAGAGGAACACAGAGCACAATAAGGAAAGGACATCTTAAAAGTACGAAGGCAAGGATAGATATTTTCAATATAGCTGGACCTGAAAAAGCTCACCCTAAAGTGTTTCAGGAACTGGTGAAAGCCATCCCTAACAACTCAGAGGAAAAAAAGTGTCTCTCAGAAACAGAGAAAGCCAAGACAGCACCAGTGGTGCCTTTCTAAAATAACATTCTAATATGTATTAATCAAGTTTTTGCCAGTGCTTAGGAAAATACCAGCAAGAAATACTTAAATTATTGGTTACTGTGACCAAGAAGACATTAGGTTAATAAAAAGCAATAATAAAACAATGAGAAATCATATTATGTGAGTTTAATTCAGTATATTTATTAGGATTACTGGCCTAGATGATAAGGAGAAAGACACAGATATGACATTTATGTTATCTACCTAAGCTTTTCCACATACCTGCATGATAGTCTCACATCTCATAAATACAATTCAATGGAAATGTCAGTGCATGAATACCTGATTTTAAAACAACACTCACGTCTTAAGTCAGAATTTTCAGTCTCAAGATGGGATTTGGAGTGATCTGCTGTGAATCTAGTGCTAGTCAGTATTTTAAATAATGGCTTAACATGAAATAGAATTATATTTAAAGTATTTAGTCCAGTCCCTTGCTGAAAATGATTGTTAGCATCTCAGATAACAAGTCAGCACCTTTGAGAATCACAGAAACAACTACAGGAAAATTTAAATTGAAAGGGACCTCAAGAGACCTTTAGTCTAACTTTCTGCACAGGGGATCAGACCAGGTTTCTCTAAAAGGTTTTCAAGACCTGACTGGCCAAAACCAAATGTGGAGACAGCAGAAACTGCAGTTACAACCTTCAAAGGCAATCTTTTCCACTCTCCTCACTTTGAAAAAGTTTTCTGTTATATTCAGGCTCAACTGTTTTTATTTCCACTCATATCCATAGTCTGTCATCCTCCCACCTCTGCGAAGAGTCTGACTTTTCTTCTTGTTGACTTCTTCATTGGTGTCAAGGGGGGCCTGCCAGGTTTCTACAGTAATTCTCCCATTTAAATGTGCTGCTCCTTCCCCTCAATGCTCCCACACAATCCTAATAGGAAAAAATGTAATAAAAAGATACATGTTTACATCTGGGAAGAAACAGTTGAATGCACAAATACAAAATGGGAAATAATTAGTGAAGCAGCAGTGGTTCAAATGCTAGCAGTCTCTGGCACTATCTTAATATATGTGGTACATGTAACACATTCATTTGCTGTGCTTGGCACTTGTGAAGCTTTGGTTGGATGCACCTCAGAGTCCAGTCCTGAGGAAACAAAAAATAAGGGAGATGCAGAAGACAATAGTGGAAATAACTTTGGATTTGGAAATTTAGTGATACACCTTGTTAGGAAAGACAAAGACATTTTTGTCTCTGGAGGGAGGGAGAGAGAGAGAAGGGGCTGAAAGAGAAGGAGAACAGTAAAAAAGGGTATGGAAAGTGTTTCAGTCACTCAGTAGGTAAAAGTCTTTCTTCTCATACTAAAGAGAGAAAAGAGAGCAAAGATCCCCTATGCTCACTGTGACCGTGTCAAATAGAAATACGTGCAGCCAAAAAATATTAGCTCAGGGAGTACGAAAAAACCTCTAACTACAATAATAATCAAGTGATAAATTAGGCTGCAAAGCAAAGCCATGGATTCTACAGCCTTTCAACCAAAGGTAAATAAATATTGTCTGCTCTGTGTCAGGTCAGAGAGGAGAAACAGATGATGTCTCAAAGTCCTTTTTATTCAAAGACAGAAAATTTCTTAGCAAGCTTGATTGATGCCTCAGATAAACCCCTTTTCTAAATAAAATCTGAGCAAAAACACTGCTTTATGAAACATTTGTGAGGTCTTAAAGTCACTGACGGGAGCCTAAGAAACATTGGCTGTGAACGCTGCAGTATGGTGCTCCTACAATGTGAATTTTCAGTTAATTTTTCCTTAGAAGTTCATTGCAGTTCACAGCATCCAATGGCACTGTTTTCTTGTTAACTGAACATTAATTTGGCTTTGACTGAGTCTTCTTTTGCCTTATCTTGTCTAGCCTAGATTATTCATTCATATTCAACAGTTTATCCAACATTTAACATTTTAGGGGTTGTAGACTGCTGCTGTATTATTCTTTTTTTTACATCTGGTGCTACACAAAGCTTTACAAAGCCTTATGCTCTCTTGTTTATTCAGATGGTTGTTTCCTGTTTTAAGTGCATTTGCATACCAGTCATATAAAAAAAATTCTTATTCTTTGCATCATAATCTTCTTAAATAAGAAAATCTTTTCTTTCCAAGCTTGCAAGCTTTGGTAGGTCTTTTATCACAGTTACTTTACATAAAAATTTTGTATTTGTGCTTCTGCAGACATCTACAGTGTGGCATAGATGATGCTTTTGCACTTAAGTGATCTTTTGTTGCACTTAAGTGATCTTTTATCCCAGTGGACTGGAAGCCCAAAATCTACAAGAACGGTAACAAGATATTCTCCAGTTCCAGTTTTATTGAACTTTGTTAAAGTGAGCCCTTCCCCTACTATAAGCTAAAGACTAATTTCTACACACATAACACTCTTTCTCATTTATCTGCTATATTCTTCTGGGTAATGGTAGATAAAAAGTTAATCTTCATGTATTTTTTATTTTATTTTTATAAAAACCCCAGTTGCTGGTAACTGCATCTGCAGAAAGTTAGTTTACTTTTGGAAATATTGTCCAATGTCTGACTATAAAATACAGAACAGAATCACTAGGTTGGAAGAGACCTTTAAGATCATTGAGTCCAACTGATGATACAGTAAAAAAAAAAAAAAGGAAATAAAAAGTGCATTTTTGGACTTTATTCTTTGTCCTAAGTGTGCTATTCTCTCTCATCAGGCTGAAAGAAATTATCCGAATTCTGACATTATCTGAGGACAGCAACAGTTTTCATCATCCTTGGATGCCATGAAGTACAACAAACATTAAAAAATAACATAAAAGTAAGCATAAAAATATTAAAAAATAAGATTTAAGTACAGCTTAAGTAAATAAAAAGGCATAGATGCTCTTAGAAAGAACTGAACTATTAGGAAAAACAAAATCAAGCAAATAAAAGAAAAATCAGCCCTTATGCTTTGTAATAAAACTCATCTGAGAAGTTCAGATGGTAAGGAAGTAAAAGAGGTGAAGTACTGCTTTATCACCCCTTAACCCTGACAGCAGTTAATTTCAATCATTCAGAGCAATCAGGAGGACTTCAAAATAGTAAACTTCCCTCTATATTAGGTGATGTATAACAAAAAAATATCCCTTACTCTGTCAAGGTTTACTACCAACTAGAAAATGACAAACAGACACAAGCACTTTGACTGATTAAGAGAAACATAGAATGACAAGGGAGACAGTGGAAGAAAATTGCTATTTCATGAACTTTACCGCTAAGAAGTAAAGTATCTATGAGATGCATATTTTCTAGCAGAACAACAGAAAAAATAAAACAAAGAACCAAGATAAGTATCATAAATTTTAACAAGGCAGTATTGAAATGCAAAAATAATAAATATCCCTAAAAATATTTTTTTCATCTTTGAGGAAATTTAAGTAGCTACGAATATTCATAAACTGTCACATTTAATAGAAATCAGCATGTTATTTCATGAACACCAGACCCAGCAAAGTCTGTCTTCCTACAAGTTGCATATTTTCTACCCAGGCCATCACTTCCTACCCTCAATACCAAACTACACCTCCAGTCTTCCACAAAACTTACACTGTAGGTAGGAAGCTAGAGACTCCTATCTCTGTTTCAACACAGCTTTGCAAAACTGACTAAAAAGATCCACCTATTTCTAGGGTCAGAAAAGCAGCAAAATTCCATAATCTGATTTCCTAGAAGAAACAGTGTATAATCGAGAAGGTTCCTAAATTCTCACCCTTTATTGCTGTTTTCTCCCCTGAGTGACTGCAGTAAATCAAATATGCGCCCTGACCAGAAAGGAAAATCAGGAAATGCACAGCAGTTATCAGGCCAAGGCTCAGCCTACATCCTGTTGGACTTGGCTGGTCTGGGAGCCAAGAACTGCTTCCATAGGAATGTGCTTGTCTCTCCTTCAGCCCAGCAGCCCTTGCCAACCACTGTCTTTTTTTTTTTTTTTTAAGCCACTGCCTTGTTGGTATATATATTCCTTGTAGGAGCTCTTGGACTTACAGATTCTTACCACAGTCAGACAAAAAATATGGTTTAAGCATATCACTAGTTTGTTTTAGTTTAAGTACTGTGGCTTTAGTGCCCAAATTTTAAAGCTGAACTCTTACACCTCTATTAAAACCATCTAGCTCCAAAAGATTTAGTGACATATAAGAATTTATTAAAGTTAGCCTACTTTTTTGGAAGACAAGTATTATCTGCCATTCCTAAATTTCTGGAGCATTTGAAAGATTCAATAGGTTTGAAACAAAGGTGCTGCTACAACGAATAATCATCCATATATATTATGATTTTGAGCCAGTTAATATTGGCTACATGGAATAAAAAAATGGCTACTGAGTAATTAATAACCAGCTGTACTTTCTTATAACATTGTAAGTCTCAAGACAATATTAAGATTGAGTGGCTAAAATCCACAGAAAAAAACACTAAGTCATTCATTAATTATGACTGAATTCATTGTGTTGTATCTACAGCCACACAAAGGCTGAAATCTGCCTTCCCACAAAGTTTCTAGAGCTGGAAGTTGTTTTCATCAGATATGTGAGCAATGGGTACAGGAGAGTGGCCCTTCTACAACAACAAAACCTAGATAGTCACAGCCAGTGACAAGCTGGTGACTATCACCCTGCTACTCCTCAATATTGAGCACTCTTTGGAATTCTCTTTAAAGACATGGTATTTGTAGCTTTTACCATAGGAAAGGAAGAATAAAAGTTCTTGTGCAAATTTTCAGCAAAGCAAAACCACAGAATGGTCCAGATCAGATTTTATTGCAGCCAAGCATCCAACATGACCAGGAATATTGCAGCCAAATCAAAATCTCTTTCAAGGGATTGCAGCATGAGGTACTGTCGTCATGAAGCTGTGGGTGTGAGAAGTGTGTGGCATACTAAGATAGAAAGCATACAGATAGAAAACACATTTCATGGAAAAGCTTTGTCACTGGAGATTAAGATAACTGTTTTTGACATTAAAAAGTAGGTTTTAAGTTGCAAGGCCCCATATGAATTCACAATAAGTTTTTGCTTTCTATGATACAACAGTGAGAAAACTTCCTTTCCTTTACAGTCTTACAGTTGCACCATGTTGGGAATGACATTCAGTCTTTTTAGATAAACATTATTGAACAATATTCATGGGTTTTTTTATTTTGTTCAGTAAAGATTTCCTGCAAAATTCCAGCACATTTTAAAATCTTCAGCACTAAGTATGAGCAATCTTTAAATTACTTCTACAGTGCATTTATACCAGCTGTTTTCAGCTGGAGAACAGATTGCCATAAAGTCTTCTACAATGTTCTGAATCTTGAAAGTGAGCAGGAGGTAATCATTTTCCCCTGTCCTTTCTATTCCCAGAGAAAAGGATAGAGACAAGGGGAAATAGGAAAAAAAGGACTGCAGTAAGGAGGGGAAAAAATCTGCATGTGGCTATCAAAACGAGAAGGGAGAAATCAAGGCGAGGCATTTGTCCAGTAAAATTCCTATGTTACTGACACTGGGAAAAACTAATGTAGGGGTAAAAAGGTATTTTTATTAGCTTTATAAAAAAACCTGAGTTTCCAGCTTGAAGGAAATTCTTCAAGAAAATGCCTACATTGTACATGATAGTTTAGTGAGCAGGTGACCACCATCACCAGTGGGATCAAATTCATTCTAGAAACACTAGTTTTTAAGACTGTATAGGGCTCAAAGATCCTGAGCTACAGGCCACAGTATGCGAGTCAGCTCACAAAGGATGGCCACTGCAGACATATCAGGCTAACTCATCCTGTCCTCATGGATTTGCTACTCACAAAACCCAGCAAAGCTGAAAAGGCCAACTCATGTCTTGTCATGTCATGATTTAGGAATGATGCTCCCCAGTTTAGTGCCTCGTTCTTCCCCCACTTCCCCCGAGACTGCCCCAAACCAGCTACCACTCTCTTGGCTCCCCCACTCCCCTTCCCCTTTCCCTTCCTGCTCTGGGGATGGAGTTGAGAGGAGGCACAAAATGGTGTTACAGGTTGAAATAAGAACAATTAATTTACTGGAAATGGAAATGAGATAAGAAAACGAACAGTAAGAGCTACAAAATTAGTAACAGAATATAAGTCAACAATTTACAGATAAAAACCACAACAAATACCAAACAGTTCTTTCCCATCACCCCATGCTTTCTCCTGAGCAGAAAAGGAATGCCTTTCCTCTAGGAAGCCAGAGCCCCTTTTCCCCACCACTGGCAATGGCATAGGATGGTACACAATAACATTACAGTCTTGGCAGTGCCCACATCACAGAGTACTGCAGCCTAGGACAAACTGTAAAAGGAAATTGGGATTCTTGGTCCAATGGGCTCTGCCTCCCTGTCAGCTGGGACTAGAGGTGGGCACCACCACACCCAGCTATTTAAAAAAAATATTAACTCTGTCCTGGCCGGAGCTAAGACACCAACTCAACAAGCTCTCTCAGTGGCAGGAAACACTTAAGCTAGAATGTTGAGCAGAGCACACAGAAAGAAGAAGAGAAAGCACCTTGATGTACTGGGACAAAAAAGAGGCATAATAAAGATTTCTATATATTGTAAAATCAAAGTGTAAGAAAGCTTCGATATCACTGATTGTTTGGAGTTAAGATAAAACTTACAGCATGGAGTTTCCATGAGGTGTCCACATTTCTCTTCCACTAGGAAGGGTGAATCTTCATTATCAATCCTGAAATTCTAGCACAAACATTATTCTTGTCACTCTCTCAACACTATGCATGTCACTCTCTTCAGACCTGAAGCACTAATTTTCCACATCAAAAATTTAATAGGTGATGCATTACTGGAAAAGATGAAAGAGTAACTTGCATTAAAGGAAACAATATTTTAATAAGCTTTTAATGTTAATTAGTCAAGAGTAATTTTGAGCTGTCATATAAGATCTGTATCTGCTTACTGTCTGAGTGATTGGGGTTTGTTTTTTGCTGTTGTTCTTGTTAAAGAAACAGAAAAAATACCTATAATTCTCTTACTGCATGTACAAAACTTTAGCACACATACATGGGACACTGAACTTTCAACCCCCAAATTTCCTTCATATGTATATCTTAATCAAAGAAATCAATTATACTCAGAATAATAACATATCTTAGAATTACTGTGGGTCATAATCACAAAATGTTATTTGTGGCCTTTTGACTATTGTAATAATCTGAAAATCCTGATGTTTTTCCATGTTGACTGAGAAACCTTGATCAGGGTGGAAAAGAAAGGTCAAAAAGGTAAAACTTATGGGTTCTTTCCTTCCTTTTCAATCCATACACGTAATTTCATGACTTAACGGCCACATGCCACACATTTAAAATCAGGACAGCCTTAGTATTGTTCAGAAAGGATTTGACCCACAAGTGTAATAGATAGTTGTCATAGGCCTCATAGCATTAGCTGGAAATACTGAACTATAAAATGCGGAACTTTACTGTACATGTTCAAAGAAAAATCCAAAAATCGATGTAAAAAAAAAAATCTAATAAAACCACTTTTAAGTTATAACATTTTTTTCAGAGTAGAATGAAAATGAAACAAAAACAGTCAATTACTCTTGTGAGTTATCATCTGCAGAAAATAAATGGCAAGGATTCCCCATCATATGAAAAGTTGGCTGGATCTTTTTTAAAGGTATCAAAAGAGAATGACAAGGGCTTGATTTGTTTTTTATAGTTCTATCTGTATCACTGAAGTTTTGCATCCTCCCTCCATGCCCCTGTGAATGAATATTGTTTAAATTAGTCCATTTAAAAGGTAGGTTGAGCCATTTCCACATTGACTTATATAAAGCCATTTTCCTGTTTTATTAGTCACATTAGCATTCTATTGTCCTTTAAATGTCACAGGTTCAAGAGCATAGCTGTACATATTCTGGAAATATTCCTGTTTTATGTAATAAAACAGAAAACTACAATTTCTTGAGACAGATAAGGTGACAAAAAAAAAAAAAAAAAGAAAGAAAAAAGAGAGAAGCAAACAGGGCACAGAATAAAACAACAGCCAGTAAGACAAGATTACTGGCAAGTGAAGGAAAAGCAGGAGAGCTACTGAGAGCACATATTTAGAAACGCTTGTTTGTATTGTCTCTATCAAAACATGTGAAACAGCTGATAAACCCGCCACTTGCTGTAACTTACAGAAAGGAAGAAAAATGGCACTGCACTCACCTCCTGACATATTCCTTAATCTTTTAGAGACCTTTGAAAAGCCACATCGTACGTTGGAAGTGCTCTCATTTATTAGTAGTGTTTTATTTGAAAGCAGAAACCTGCAAAATTCCCTAGCTGTATGCTATCTAACCTAAAACATTTCCAGGTTTATCAAGGGCAACATGAAAAGCCCAGACTGGTTGGAAGGAGTTATTGGAAATCAAATGAATTTTGAAGCCTGCTGGATCTGGCCTACCATCTTCTGTCAAAGGCAGGTTAGTGTTTCAAACAGGTTAATGCCTGAAAATATCACCTGAATCACTAAGTCCAGTTACCCACAGATGAAAGCAAAGCACAACAATTTTTTTCCAGAACTGGCATAAAAACATTTTCCCTACATGTTACCATAGCCCACGTTACACTACCCACCACCTCCTGACAAACACAAGGCTCATTATATTTTAAATGTCTGCTGCAATGTGCCACAAGAAGACGTAACTCTGTTTCTGTTGCCAAGAGTCACAGGCCCTCACAATTACAAATAATTTGCTAGATAAATTAGCTTAAGAGGAATGTGTGCCACATGGTACAAAGGAGGGCAAACTCTTCCTCTCCTCGGCCTTCCCTCCACTCCAAAAATCCTTGCCAAGCTCATTAGGGAGAAAACCACATACACCCACAAGGATGCACGTAACATGAGGACTTAGACGTCTATACAGCCACTCAGCAGGTATATTTTTAAGCTTTCTTCATATCATGTTTTAACCCCAGCTGTCAATTAAGCACCACGCAGCCACTCACTCACTGCTCCATCCTGCTGGTGGGGGAGAGAATCAGAAGAGTGAAGTTGGAAAATTTCTGGACTGAGATAAAGAGAGTTTAGTAGATAAAGCAAAATCTGCATGCATGCAAGGAAGGCAAAGCAAGGAATTCATTCAGCACTTACTATGGGCAGGCAGGTATTTATTTACCCCGATGAAAGCAGGGCTCCATCACGTGTAGAAGTGACTTGGGAATTAAAATGCTGTTATTCCAAAATGTACCCTTTTCCTACTTCTTTCCCAGCTTTATCTGCAGAGCATAATGCTATATAGTATGGGATATACCTATGGTCAGTAGAGGTCAGCTGTCCCAGAGGTGTTCCCCTCAAACTCCTTGGGTACCTCCAGGCCACTCACTGATTGGTTGGGATGAGGAGAAGAAAAGTCCTTGTCTTTGTGTAAGCCCTGCTCAGCAATAGCAGAAACATCTCTGTGTTATCAGCACTGTTTCCAACACAAATTCAAACCTTACCATCATACAAGCACTGTGAGGAAAATTATCTCTACCCCAGCCAAACCCAGCACAGTACGTTACAACCATGTAATAGCACCAACAAACATTTGGAACCTTCAGTGTTCTCCATGGTCCATTGTGCAGGGTGTCACAGGGTGCAGTGGTTCCCTGGTGGCTGGAGGTCCCCAGGGTCTGTTGGGGCAGGGCCAAGTCCTGTGATGTAGCCCCTCACGGAGCACAGAGTGGTTTACTGGTTTCGTCAAGAGCCCTGAGAGCCAAAACCTCAAAGGCAGCACTGGTGCAGTCTCTGTATTGCCCAAAGAGAGATGTACACAGGGACCTTCTGGTATGAAAACTTCATCTGGCAGCTCTGCAAAAGGTGTCAGGCAAAGGAGAAAAAGGTGCTAGGAAATCCTGCACCTGTGGATGTAGCTGCCTTCTCCAGCACAACCTATGTATTGTCTGCTGTCAAGCTCAGGGGCAAACAGGCAAGTCACTGACAGCCTGAAGATCTAGTTATGGCTCTGGCAGCACATGAAAGCCAGCAAAGCAAAGGGCAGTACCTTCTGCTCCCAGCACTATCTACTCAAATATAGGTAGCAGTTTGTAGTACTTGCTTAGTATTTCTATCTGGTTGGTCTTCCAGCTGGCAGGTTGTCACCACACTTCTGAGGGCCCCAGGAGAGCCCCAGAGTTCCAGGGACCCAGTTGTGTGGCACTGCCCAGATGCTACGAGATGTCACACTTCAAGGATTTTTATGCACAGCAAAATTCTACATATGGCAAAAGGCAAAGGAGGAACTCATCTGCCATCTCTGCTGAAGGCTGTCAACACCAGTAGAAGAGACCTTGTACAGCCCATGTAGAAGAGACCTTGGTGCTCAATACACAAGATGAGTAATGCTTACACTGAAAGCTGTTGATAAGAAAGTAAAGGTATTTAAGCAGTCAAGTGAGCAAACAATCTGCAAGCTATTGAATATCTTCTTGTCAGAATAAATGATGGAGTAGTTCAAGGCTGAGAAACACAACTGCCAGTCATGTCTTCTGTTTTAGATTATCTTAATCCATTCTTGATTTATATATAGCACAGAGGACCCTAATGAATCTAACACAACTCTGAACAAAGACCTGAGCTCAGCTCTTTTGCATATGCTTTCTCTCTGTGAATGTTTCAACTCCAACTCAGCAAAAAATATGATACAAGTATCTTCTAGGAAATACACAAATATTGTCATGCCCGGTGCCCATTGAAAAGTTCATTCTCTTTCCTTGAAGCTGAGATTGCTCTTCCCTTGGAGTATGTAAGGTCTGCAACTACAGTATTGAAAATATGCTCCATGGAACTGTCAAATCCTCTCATTAGATGCAGTACAGTAACTCTGGTTAAAGTCGACTGTGCTTCAGGATCAGGCAGCCCTCACAATCTCTGTGATAGACACAGATTGGTTTCTTTAAGAAAATCCTTGCTTTGAGCTAACACACAAATCCCACAATTTTCATAGGATCATAGAATAGTTTAGGTTGGAAAAGACCTCTAGAATTGTCGTGTCCGACTGTAAACCCAGCCCTGCCAAGTCCACTACTAAGCCGTGTCCCTAAATGCCACACTTAGACACTTTTAAATCCCTCCAGAGATGGTGACTCCAACACTTCCCTGGGTGGCCTGTAATATTGCTGGACAATTTTTTGGGGATGAAACTGGGCCTGATCCCCTGGTTGCTTTGCACATTCTCCATGGTGGCACTCAAGAGATCTGCTCCATTACCTTTCTTGGCACCAAGGTCAGCCTGACTGGCCTATAGTTCCCCAAAGCCTCCTCCTGGCCCTCCTTGTAGATGGACATCACATTTGCTATCTTTTAGTAAACTGGGACCTCTCTGATCAGTAAGGTCTGCTCGTAAATGACTGAAAATAGCTCGTTACATCCTAGAGTGTCTTCCTGCAGGCTGTTTTGACATTTATTCTCTCCCTTTTATTTCAAAATCCAAGGAGATTAATTTAGGCAGAACTACGTTCAAGTATTTTTCCAAGCTAGAGAAACGAGGCATAATTTATGCTGCATAACATGCTATGCAATGTCCACCATCAAGTTCCAGAAAGAGATTGTTCAACTTACCCATTTATGTATTCTCATGAGAATAGGATTAAACGTTTCTGACAAAAACTTTTGTCTCCCTTGTTTACAGTAAACATGATTATTCATTTTTGAGATATAAAAGCTATTTTAAGCTCTTCAATGAAGTACTCTAGGAATGCCAACAATAAAGGATAACTTGATTCTTCTGTATTTTCAAAAAGTTGTGTCTGAATAACACTAAGATTACTCATGATGCTTTAGTTCTGTCATATTTTCCTGAATTTTTGCTTTCGTTGGTCTGTCCTTATGGAAAAAACTGTGGAAGTTTCTGATATTTGTGTTCTACTGAAGTAATGCAGAAACGGTCCTACCAGCTCAGGGTAGATATTTGTCTGGTCCACAAGGCTAGGAAAGAAGGTAAAATCAGAGAAAGCATGGTTAGGTGTTCCCTAAAGCGTGTTCCCAGATCCCAGGAAATAGGAAATAGGAAAGAGGGAAGAAAGAAGGAATACTCTTTATGAAGATAAACTTCTTCAGCTCTCAAGTTGTGTAAAAACATGATACCCAAGTATAAACAGTGTGGTTACTGTGTCTTCTTTAATAAATTTTGATCTATATTTTCTGTTCTACTTAATGTAGACTTTCATCACTCCCTGTCCTCTTCCTGCAAGGAAATTCAAGTCACTTTCAATCCTCTTTGTTCAATACCTGTTCTGAGCTGTTCCCAAGAAGTAGAGGACTTTTGCAGAGACCTCTAGGTTTCTGTGCCAATATCAATCCTCCTTCAGAATCAGTCTCCTAACCTGCTTCTTCCTATGGACCAGATTAAACTTTGGAACAATTTCAGAATACAGGTCTGTCCCTAAGTGCATCACTTTCTCCCCCATTTTTATCCATCTCTCCACCCAGCAGTAGCTCCATATGCAAGGAGATGCTTGGAAAGCAGACTAAATAAGGAAAAAGCTTTCTCTGGTCCTTAACTCTCTGATTCAGCAAGTAAAGAAGGAAACAAAGGTTGGTGCTCTAAACATAGTCCCTGACTACCTATCAGAGGCAAAGTGTACCAAAGAGAAAAGTAAAAACATCGCAATATTTTACCAAAGTAAAAACATAGTAATTCAACATGAACCCAAGAAGTGGGTTAGTTATCCTGTCTAGACTTTTGTAACTGAAAGCCATCACCAAAATAAAAGCTCATCTTCAAAAGATTCATTATTTCTCACTCATAAAATTTAAAAAGCAAGTCAAGAAACCCATTTTCTTCTTTCTTCTCAATATTTTCTGTTTGGAAGCGTAACAAAAGAAAACACTCTGCTACTGGAAACGTTAGAAGATCTTAATGTCTCTGTTTCCACACCAGATTCTGTAGCAGTGGCATCACTCTTACCTTTTGAACAAAAGCATAATCCCTGAATTGCACATGTTCTTTGACCTTTGTGGCTCCCAGGGAATTTGAAGGGGTTTAGATGTTTACAGCAAGACTGGGATACAGCATTAGAAGCAGTAACCCATCACCCTTTCACAGCACAGCTGGAGTAGTTTGCTGTGAGGAGAAGGCAACAATTTCATTGCCTATTCTTTACCCTACAAGAACCACATTTAGTCTCCCAAAAAGGAAGACAGAAGAGCCTACATGTGACCCTAATATTTTCCATCTGGCCATGGCGCTGAATAGAAATGTCAAAGTAAAATCTACTTTTCCTGTAGCTGAGCAACAAAGACACTTATGCATCCCATTCCATAGCTGAAGATACGGTTTTTCTGGAATGGGATATTTTGCTGATCTGAATCTCTCCTCTGGAATCAGCAACATTTCTGCTAGTAAGAGACAGACCCAGAGAGAGTCCTGTGTCACCGTTGGGATAGACCGGGAGATGAGAAAAAAGGCAACGGAAATAATTCTCAGCTATTGAAAACCAAGGTCTAATCTGATTCTTCTGTGTTTATGAAAAGAGAGAGTGAAAGCTGATGCACCCACTAAGAAGGCAAGCACTGTCATCACTGACCTTAGTGGGTGATTTGTGCATGCCTGTTACAACACAGCCCTCTATACTGCTCCTTGGCAGGAGACTGTTCATCATCATCTGGCAGCTTTAGTGGAACTTTAGTGGCTATAGGGGAGAACTTTATGGGGAAGGAGGGAAAATTATCCTCCCTCCCTCCCCTGCCTTGCTCAGAAACTAGGAGGTGCAGCCTCAGAAGCTGGCTCTAATTGGTAATGGAATGTCTAGATAGAACTAGGTCTTGTGTACACCCCGGTCCTCAAATGGATGCAATGTCAGCTGTGATCATGGGCTTATTATACCAAAAATATTGAGACAGCCTGCGAAACAGAGCTTTTTTCCTTTACTCACACAACATGAGGAGACGGCTTTTTCTCCAATAACAGAGGCCTGCAACTTGGAACTGCAAGTTCTGACTCAGGTGGAGGCAGAACCATATCTCCTCTAATGTGTAATATTTGCACATTGCAAAGCAACTAGGAAGATAGGTGATTAAGACCTCCCTGACTCCTGCTACCCCTTGAAGAGAAAGTTCTAAGCAAGAGTCCTACAACACTGAGTGAGCACCACACAGGCAAATCTGCAGTGAGTTTACAATCAGTGATTCTTCCCTGCCATGATGACTTTGGGGGAAGGGTCTGTCATCCAAATCGTGAGTTTCACAAATCCTTCCTGCAACAGCCAGAACCTTGATTGTTTGCCGTGGCTGAAGGCATAAGAAGAACAAAGCTTACATCCCCTGTGCTGTGAGCATAGAGTAATGAAGAAGTGCGTCAGTAGGATCACATGTGTTTGCTGTTGCTGCAGTTACAAGCTCTCCATAATATTGCCATATATTGTCTCTTTGCAGAGACCACTTGGCAGGTTTCTCAAAGCTCAGACAACATTTAATGTCAGAAGCCTTGGGCATATGTGAGAATGCCTTTAAAGCCTTGTATGAAAGAATATAAAAGATGGGAAAAAAGCAAGTTTACCTTTGAAAACTGTTTTCTGACTTTGTAGGAAAATATTTTTTAACAGGCTTTACTAAACACAATATTGAGTACAAGTCATGCTGTGTGTATCTGTGAAGCAGAGTATGACAGAGTGGGCACAAAATAATGTTGTATAGAAATATTTTTTTAATAGAAATTGTTATTTTTCGTTGCTGGCATACAAAAGGTAAAGGTAATAAAGACAGGCAGAGGAGAACTCGACAAAATAATTATTTTTATAGTATTTGGTATCTCTAATTAAAAAGATTTCAACATCAGAGAGAAATGTAAAACTAACTGCAAGAGAAAGTTGTATTCATTTTCCTGACAACACCAGACTGCTTGAAATATAGAAGTCAGTTATAACTGGCTTTTAATACAGTAAAATAAACCCCAAACATTTTTAAAATCTACATTTCATAAAGTCA